TGAAAGAAAGAAATGTGGGTGATGACATCCTTTGGGCCTTGGCTGGGCTAAGAGTGCACAGCACATGAAGAACCCTGGATAAATAAATTTTTTTTTTTAAAAAAAGGAAAGAAAATCTAAACAGACCAATGGCTTGTAATGATATACAAGCAGTAGTAAAAAGCCTTTCAACAAAGAAAAGCCCAGGACCAGATGGATTTTCAGCTGAATTCTACCAAACCTTTAAAAAAGAACTAATGCCAATTCTCCTCAAATTATTCCATGAACTAGAAAGGGATAGAACACTTCCAAATTCACTCTATGAAGCCAGTATCACACTCATATCAAAACCAGGACACATCAAGGAAAGAAAACTACAAACCAATATCCCTGATGAACGTAGATGAGAAAGAATATAGTATTAGTAAATTATATTTAAAAACATATATAAAAGATTATATACCAGGATCAAGTTGGATTTAGCCCAGAGATGCAAGGATGATTTAATATATAAAAATTAATAAATAAAATTTATCGAATTAACAGAATTAAGGACAAAAATCACTCAGTAATCTCAACAGATGTACAGAAGACCTTTGACAAAATTTAGCACCCATTCATGATAAAAACACTGAAGAAACTAGGGATAGAAGGAACCTCCCTCAACAACATAAAGGCTACATATGAAAAACCCAAAGCCAACCTCATAGCAAATGGGGAAAATCTGAAAGCATTTCCTTTAAAATCTGGCACAAGTCAAGGATGTCCATTCTTATCACTCCTATTTAATTCAGTAGAAAGTCTAGCCAGGGCTATTAGGCAAGAAGGAAATAAAAGAGGTAAAAAAGGAAAGGAAGACAAATTATCACTGTTTGCAGATGATACAATTCTATATCTAGAAGATCCAAGAAAAAAAAAAAAAACCTCTACCAAAGACTGTTAGAGCTAATAATAAACACATTCGGAAAAGTAGAAGGTTACAAAATCAACATATAAAAATCAATAGTTTTCCTATATAACAATAATTAATTTGCTGAAAAAGAAATCAGGAAAAATAATTCCATACACAATAGCCTCAAACAACAACAAAATATAACCTAGGAATAAATTTAACCAAGGAGGTGCAAGAGCTCTAAAATAAAAATGATTTGGTCATTAAGGAAAGAAATTGGAAAGACCCCAGAAGATGGAAAGACCTCCCATGTTCCTGGAAAGGCAGAACTAATACTGTTAAAATGGCCATACTACCAAAAGGAATATATAGATGTGTCGTACTCCCCATCAAAATACAAATGACATTCTTCACAGAACTAGAAAAAACATCTAGAATAAAGAGTTCAAAAACTTTTCACCAAACAAATAAAATTAATAAATGGGCAAATGAATTAAACAGACACTTCTCAAAAGAAGAAATACAAATGGCCAACAAATACAAGGAAAAATGTTCAACGTCATTAGCAATTATGGAAGTGCAAATAAAAACTACATTGAGATTTTATCTCATACCAGTCAGAATGGCAGTCATCAAGAATACAAATAATTATAAATGCTGGAAAGGATTATAATGTGGGGAAACAGGAAGCTTTTCCACTGTTGGTGAGACTGTAAATTAGTACAACCACCCTAGAAATCAGCATGGAGGCTCTTCAAAAGACGAGGCATGGAACTACCATATGACCCAACTATACCACTTCTCAATATTTACCCTGAAGAATTAAAGTAATCTTACTGCAGTGATACATGCATATCCATCTTTATAGCAGTACAATTCATAATAATCAAACTATGGAACCAGCCTAGGTGTCTATCAATGGATGAATGGATAAAGAAAATGTGATATATGTACACATATATCAGCCATAAAGAAAAATGAAATTATGTCATTTGGAGGAATATGTATGGAACTAGAGACCATCATGTTTAGCAAAATAAGTCAAACTCAGAAGGTTAAGGATCATATGTTTTCTCTCATATGTAGAAGCTATAGAAGAAAAACGAAAACAAAGTTGGGGGTGGGTCTCCTAAAAATCAAAGGGAAATCAATAGAGGAACTGGATCAAGGAAGATGGAGAGGAAGAAAGGAAGTGCTGGAGAATTATATTGTTATATTGTCATATTGTGTGCATCATGAGTATGTAACAACAAATCCCATCAGTATGTATAAGTATAATGCATCAATAAAAATGTGAAAAATAAATAAATAAATTTACCTTTGGTTATAAAAAATCAAAAAAGGAAAAATATTTCACATTTATGACAAAATATTTATAATAGCTAATACTATGATATTATATCCTTGGAATATAAATAACAACTGAAAATCAGTGTAAAGGTGAACAAAGAATAGATCTTCAAAAGGAGGAAATAAAATGTAAACAGATTATTAATTTATCATTAATTAAATAAATGCAGAAGAATGCATTAATGGAATACTATTTATCTATTAACTGGCAAAGTTAATATTCAACAGCTGTTTACTTCACACATGGCTGGTAAGGGAATGGTAAAGTGTACTGAATTTGTTGTGAGTTATTTAGAAAGCAGAAGGTAAAATACATTCTGTAGGCTATATTTTAGGGAAATTATTGTTGGGAGACCAAAGTAATACATTCATATGAAGTACAATTTAGAAATATTCTTCAAAATTTTAGACTGAGTCAGTCTTTAGCCCATCATTCCAACTTTTATGATTTATCCTGTAAGCATGTGAAGCAGCAGATGCAGATTACTCATTGCAGTGGTATTGTTAATATTTGCACAGAACTAGGCATTAGCTAGTGCCCACGAGTAGGAGACTGTTGAAATATACTGTGGTATGTCCACATAATGGAACTCTTCTAAGAATAATAAACAAACTTTCTTTGCACAAATATGAAAGAACTCCAGGATTATTATTTAGTGTAAACAGTATGAACACTACCTTGGTACGGGGGAAAAGAGGATAATTATATGCATTTATTACATTCCTTAAAATTCCAGAGTGAGATTAGGTTTAAGTTCTTTCCATACAATATCCACAAATATGCTCTCCACATCATTTAGATTAACAACACACTGGAAACAATCTAGAAGTCCTATAATATGAAATGGTAAAGCAAATTATAATAATCTATACAATAAAATATTAAGCTACTGATTTGTCATTTATAGTTAATTTGCAATAACACATTTTGCTCAAGCAAAAATATGATGTAAGAAACTCATACAATATAAATTGAATATATAATAGGATACTACAGAGAAATCATAAGGTTATACTTAGTATATCTCCCAATATTGGTGATATTCTCAGTGATAATGTAGTATATAGTTTAGCCAAATGTCTATTACTGAGCAAAATAACACCACAAAAAAAGAGAGCGGAAATAGATGTGGGGAGACATTCTTCAGGGGCAAGGCAGGAGATCATTTTTATATTTCATTCATAGAAAATTGGAATCATAATGACTCAGTTCTTAGGGATATAATTAAAAACTGTAAGAAAGTTATAGGAAAAAATAACAATTAAGAAACATTAAGTTCTTGGAAAACCTATCTAAGGTGAATGATGCCTTTCCTTATCTTCTAAGCTATATGATTACCTTTTACATTCTGTCAAATCTCTCTTCTTCCCACCAACCTCTTAGTTCTCTCCGAAGAATAGGAAAATACAGGAAAAAGCCAGTGGGTTGGTTTTACTACAATCCACACAACTCACTATATGATACCAGAGTTGCAGCTCAATCCTGACATCCTTTATGCCCCTAGGATTTTGTTTGAGTTCACAAAAATGATGTGCAAATTCAAAAGATGTAAAGATTAATAACATTATAACTAATTTACAAGATGGGAATGCAATTTACAAGAAAATGTGGTTGTCTGGGGTGGGGAAAACAAGGGAAAGGAAGAGAAACTTTCAAATATCTATAAAATAGTATCAAGAGTTTCTAATAGCATAATGGAATATTAAAAAAATTTTTTTGTAGTTGTAGATGGACAGAATGCCTTTGTTTGTTTATTTTTATGTGATGCTAAAGATCAAACCCAGTGCCTTACACATGCTAGGCAAGTGCTCTGTCACTGAGCTACAGCCTCAGCCCAGCATAATGGAATATTTAAAATGTGTTCAGATAGCATGATAAAGTGGATAAAACTGAAGACGTGAAATCAAAATTTCAGCTCAAGTGTTAAACTTATACGTTTGTGGAGGATACTATTTAAACATTGGTTGATTGATGTATGTATTTATTATTTGGTCAGTGCGTACCATAAGTAAGACACCAAGATAAATGTTGAGAATGCAGCAGGGCACAGAACATCTATAAAAGACAGGAAATTTTAATAAGTACTAACAACAGAGTAAGATGGTACTACAGGCATAAGAGCAGCTATATCTGACCTAATCTGGAAGAGTCATGGAAGGCTTCTTGGATTATTTAATGTTGTGGTCAGACTGGAATCTGAATTCTAAATAGAAATTTGAGATCTAAAATGGAGCAGGAGGGAGCTCCTCTAGGCAGGAGCAACAGAATATGCAAAGGCCCCCAATTCCTGATTGCAAAATCTATAGCTGGGGTGAAGAGACTATCTAATTGATACCCAAGGAGGCTGCGGTTATTGATCAGTCATTATAGAAGTATAACATCAAGGACAAGTAAAATGGGATAATAATCACAAGGAACAGTAGGACTGCTATTAACCCAAAATATTTATTGAATACCTATTATGTGTCTAGAATATCTCAGGGAATAAAGCAAATAAAGAGTTTCTGTTCTGATGAAGCTTATATTCTAACACAGGGTGAGGGATGGTAGGAAGCAAACAATATGAATGATATGGTTCACCAGAACATGATAAATGATATAGGAAGTAGACTGGGAGAAGGGGAAGGGTGTTTTGAGTACAGTAGTCAGGGACTGCCTCAGTGAGTGGGTGGTGAGTGGACAAAGACTTGCAGGGGATGAGGAAGTGAGCATTGTAAATATTAAGATAAAGCACATTCCAAACTGACAGCAGAGTCAGCACAAAAGCCATGATGAGGACTTACCTGGTATGTTCTAATCAGCAGGGACACTGATGTGGCAGGCAAAGTGGTGAGTGGTATGAAATGAGGTCAAAGAGGCAACGAGGGGTGGGAAAGGCAGACTTTTGGGATCTTGTAGGTCACTATAAGAATTTAGTGGAGGGTTGTTTGTTCATTTCCTCCAGCCAGGGTAAAAGAAGGGAAAGACCAGATAGTCTAGCCAAGGCAGAGATAACATTAAGAGCAGTATCCTTTAGAAGGCAGCAAGAGATTAGAAAATGATCAGTCACAAGAAGAAATGATGCTGCTCTTGGAAAAACTGCTAGAGCCTGCTCAGTCCGCTAATTATGCCCATCTCTTTAGTGACTTTGTTAGTTCGAAATTGACCAAGGTGGGATATTAACACCATGGAAAGTAGCAAATGCCACAAATCTAGGTAGTGAGCCAGTTTAGCTGCATGCAGATATTTCTTCAGGGTGATGCAAAAATAAGAGAAGTTGGCTATCCCCTGTGATGTATATTAAGGGAAGGTACAGGAAAATGAAGGCAGGCCCCAATGAGCTGGTTTTGTGTGACTCAACAAGAAGGCTAGACTAAAGGCTTGAAGAAAAAAATGACTGGGGTCTAAAATAACTTCTGCAGGTGGGGACTGAGGCTGGCCTTGCATGAGAAAATAAATAAGGCAGCTGCCATGCAAATGTGAGGAGAGTTGAGTTGAAATAGACCAGAAAGGGCCACATCTGCATATACTTTTCTTCTTTCTTTAATTTTCATTTCTTTGAAAGTATGGAAAAATAAGCAGCCTCCTAAGACAGAAGGATTTTGAAGGTTTATAGTCTTTGAAGGAAAATGTTACAAGCAGGCAGGACAGTTTATAGTCTGGGGAAAGATGCACTTTGGGGCATGGAGAAATAAAGAGTATGGGGAAGCCAGGACTCTTATAGATTAAATAAATTGCTCAATGATGTGGCATAAAAGTATTAAGTACTACTGTAAATGTATAATGATTACTCATTATTTAGTCTTCGATAATTTAGTCTTCAAAATGATAATTTTTCTGGGTCAAAATCATTTTTGTTTTCTTTCTTAAACAAAATAACTTCAGAGAGTATTTCTCCAGATGCGTCTAAAAGGAGAAGGTTGCTGCTTCTGGTGAATCTCCTGCTTTAGCATTCAGTTGCTAAGCTGCAGGCACTTTCTTGTTCTCTTCAGCGAAGTGGAAACTTTGAAGAGTCTGTAGTTTTGGAAACAAGATGGAATTCTTCCAAATTTGTATTCTGGGACATTTAAGAACTTGGATTTGACTTTACAGAATGGTTTTACATAAAAGACAAAACCAAGTCCTCATGAGTTTAAAATTTCAGGAAACTTTCGTAGATCCAAGATAAAGGCGGGGTGTAAAAACGAAAACAAAAGTAGCCAGAGTCAGAGAAGCCCTGTGATTTTTATCCTCTGCACTCAAGACTGCTCCTCTTTGCTGGCTGAAACAGGTTGGTTCATTCTTTCTTTTCTCATTCTAACTTGGATATAATTTTTTTAAAGTCCAAGGATTCTGTATTTTTACCTATGTAGAGGAAGGTTAGATAGATGCATAGCAGTTTAATATTTAAATGAACAAAAAGAACTACTTAAAACTATACTTTAACCTTAAAATGAGAATCTGAATATAGCAAAAATATTTTCAGTACCAGTAGTTCTATGTAAAACATTGATGATAAAATAGGTTTTGCTGTGCTATTTTCTTTTGCTTTCTTTTACAAGCACTGGTTTTTTGTTCTTATAATAGTTACAAAAACATTTAAAGACTTTCTATATGTCTGCCATAAGGATAATTTCTACAAATAACTTCCATTCCTATTGCTCACCTTTTTAATAAGATTAATCATTACTTTAAAATGCCCTGCCTTAATATCTTATATTATTTGGACATATTATTCTTTAATCATCAGGCTTAAGAACTCTGTGATAAAAGAGAAGAACGAAGTTCATGTTATGTTAATAATTAATTCATTAAAAAAAGACCACAGTGGTCTTCCAGACTGGAACTTTTCAAATAATCTTAGTGATAAAAAATAGTAGTTTTAAATTTTGGTACTTGGTTTTTGCATAATGAAAACAATTCTTCCATGTGGTATCTTTCCCCAGGGGCCAGCTTCACTTTGCTCTACTCATTCAAAAAGGGTTAGCCAGTTTCAGATTGTTCTTTTGAGAATGTAGCATGGTTGGCAAAATGCTTTGTAAATACGATCTTTATTATTGTTTCTATATAATTACTTGGGATTCTTCAAAGGATAAAAATAACCAAAAGAAGATAAAAAGCCTAAAAAAAAGCAAAAGAATGCTAAGCACTATAATAAAAACATTGAAAGTCATAAAATGCATTTTTAAAATTTGTGAATACTGTGTGAGCTTATCTTAGTACTATCAAGTATTATTAACCAACATAGTACAACAGCTTCATGTTGAAACAGGAGATTCCTGGCATATCCTCTATCCATTATAGAGTAACAGCTTTATACATGCCGGCAAAGCTTCAGTCTGACAAATACTCACTGAGCAGCTACAGTGTGTGCCAGGTACACTAACAAGACTTCAATTACAATCACAAATCAAACAGGTCCAACTTTGGGGATCATAGAGCCTAAAGGGATAAGGCAGTCCAGGACATGTTTTCCTTGGGGTGGGATCAGTTCTTTGGGAGGTATGTCTTAGATCAGGAAAGTCTTCTGAGGTGGTAACATCTGATTTGATTGAGTAGGAATTGGCTCTTAAGGGAAGGGCGGGAAATAATGCTGGATAAAGGATTAGAATGAGCAATGATGCAGACGTGCGTGAGATGCAGCATGTTGCGTGTCCACCAAATTCTGGCAAAGCAGCATATTCCTATTGAAGCATGAGGATGGAGCTGGGAGTAGCACCACATTACAGTGAGAGCTTATCACGCTAGGAAGCTTGGATGTGACTTTGAGGGAAAGCAATGTGTCCTTCAGGAAAGAAGATAGCAGGGAAGTGGCAGACTGGCAATTTAGAAATATAGTACTCAAATAACAATCAGAAAAATGTTTTTGACAAGATGAGGAGGAGGTATCCAGAAGGATCCCAGCTAAGATGATACTGTAGTAGGCCAGGTGAGAGTCACATTGCTCAGATCATGCAGGTGTGTGGAAAAGCGTGGTCTAGATGGAAGAGACAGATTCAAGACAAAATTGGAAGATAAAACCAGAACATGTGGGCTGCTTGGAGATAAGGGATGAAGAGAGAAATCAAGGATTGTTGAGGCTTATAGCCTAAAGGATTAGGGGCTATAGGAGGGATGATAATGCTAACAAATAATAGTATACCTAAGCAAGTAGTGACTGGTTTGGGAGGGAAGTTGACTAAAGGAGTCTTGTTTTATAAAAGCCAACTATGAATCTTCAGCACAGATGCTGAGATAATTTATTTAACTTCAATTTATAAATGACATAAAAATGAGAAATGAATTTATTATTTCTTAAAATTTGTCATAGATATACATCACAAGATTGTTATATATGCAAAAATCATAACTTTTTTATTCTCTTATGTTGAAATCTGACTTAAATTTTCATGTTTTAAAAACTGTATTTATATAAAAGTCTTCAATTTTATTTTAAGATTTAATGATTAAGAACATTTCTGAAGGTATTGTTTTTCATCCCAGTGTCAATCCCAGTTCCTGCACACAGACCCATACATTAAAAGGATGGGTAACTAATTTGGGGGATATACTCCAATGTGGCTCCCATTAAAGCTTTTTAAAGGGTGGCAGATTCAGGCTCACATGTTATAGCAACAATCTATTCTCTAGGAAAGAATAGAACATATGCTGGTCAAAAGCTTGTTTCCTTTTAAGCAATATTAAAATTAGTATCTTGTGTTCTTTTTGCCATCTAGATTGCAGTCATGGCTTTGGAGCAGAACCAGTCAACAGATTACTACTATGAGGAAAATGAGATGAATGGCACTTATGACTACAGCCAGTATGAAATGATCTGTATAAAAGAGGAGGTCAGAAATTTTGCAAAAGTTTTCCTCCCTGCCTTTTTCACAATAGCTTTCATCCTTGGACTTGCAGGCAATTCCATAGTTGTGGCAATTTATGCCTATTACAAGAAACAGAGAACCAAAACAGATGTATATATCCTGAATTTGGCTGTGGCAGATCTACTCCTCTTATTCACTCTACCTTTTTGGGCAGTTAATGCAGTTCATGGGTGGATATTAGGGAAAATGATGTGTAAAGCAACATCAGCCTTATACACAGTAAACTTTGTCTCAGGAATGCAATTTCTGGCTTGTATCAGCATAGATAGATATTGGGCAGTAACTAAGGCTCCCAGCCAATCAGGAGTGGGAAAACCTTGCTGGATCATTTGTTTCTGTGTCTGGACAGCTGCCATCTTGCTGAGTATACCCCACCTGGTTTTTTATACAGTAAATGACAACATGAGGTGCATTACCATCTTTCCCCACCACCTAGGAAAATACATGAAAGCATCAATTCAAATACTGGAAATCTGCATTGGATTTGTCATTCCCTTTCTTATTATGGGAGTATGTTACTCTCTAACAGCAAGGACTCTCATCAAGATGCCAAACATTAAAAAAGCCCGACCCCTCAAAGTTCTGCTCACAGTTGTCATAGTTTTCATTGTAACTCAGCTGCCCTATAACATTGTCAAGTTATGCCAAGCCATAGACACCATCTTCTTTCTGATCACTGACTGTGACATGAGCAAACGCATGGATGTTGCCATCCAAATCACAGAGAGCATCGCACTCTTTCACAGCTGCCTCAACCCAATCCTGTATGTTTTTATGGGAGCCTCTTTTAAAAATTATATTATGAAAGTTGCCAAGAAATATGGATCCTGGAGAAGACAGAGACAAAATGTAGAGGAGATTCCTTTTGATTCTGAGGGTCCTACAGAGCCAACCAGTTCTTTTACCATTTAAATGTAAAACTGTTCTACCTTTTGCTTGGATACATAAGAATGATGCTTTTCCTTTTGATAAAAAAAAAATATTGCAGGGAATCTGAAATTCATATCTCAAACACTGTTGCTGCAACTTATAACAAAGAAGGAGTTGGGGTCATGGTGGAGGTAGAAGCCAAAAAGAAGAGGGGACAATAAATACACAAAATATGAAAATTAAAATTGATGATATAGGAAATAGTAGTAATAGGCATAAATCAAAGCACTAACAAGAAGATCCTTATGTGATGGAATGGTTTTTATATCTTGATTATACTATTGGTTACACAAATCTATAATGTTATATATTGAAAAAGATTTCTATACGCATTGTAACAATTTCAACTTCCTGATTTTGATTTTCTACTATAATTATTATTATTGGGTTCATCTATGGGTGATGGCTACCCAAGATCACTCTGTACTATCTTTGTAACTTCTTGTGGATTTCTAATAATTTCAAAATACAAAAGGTTTAAAAAGAAAAACACACTATACTAGAAGTTTAGAAATCTAAAACTGATTAATACAAAGGCTTATGTTAAAAAGGCATTTGTAATTATTTTTATTTATCTAAATTTTAACACAAGAACAATTTCCTCACATAACTTTAGTACCTAAATAATTGTGTAGCAAAACAATCTTTTTTGTCGTTGTTGTTTCTTAACTTATAAGTAATTTTATAAAATTCCAGAAAGAATAACAATTAATAACTGAAACATCCAAAAACAACCAAAAAAACTCATAAGATTGTCTAGCCCTTTCATATACTCCTGGTAAATTCTTAAAAACACATGTTTTGCTTCCATAATGTCAACTTTCTTTAGTAATACCTGGTTATCCTAATAAATGTTGGTTTATTGTGTAGGTTTTAGAAGAATCCTCAAATTATAGTCATCTATCTTCCAATTTTTATAACTTCCTAAAGAATTCATTTGTTTATGTGAGTCTGAGAGTTGAGTAACTCTATGCATAAAGTTTCTTTATAATGTATAGTTTCTCATTTTTCATTTAAACACTTGTATTTTTAAGCAATAAAAATATGTACCATAATAAATTTTTATTAGTATTACTGGTTTTTGTGCTAGGGATTGAGCCCAGGGCTTTGTGCATACTATACATGAGTTCTACCACCGAGCTATACTCCCATAATAAATTTTTTTAATAACATGCACAGATTATCTTTTATAAATTACTTTTTCTCTATCTACTATTTCTAAATTTGAAAATGCTTTCAAAGGCAGAATTTAAAGAATTTTGATCATGAAATTAGTATCTGTGAGTCATAGCATTATTATAACACAAAGGACCAATCTTTTGAGTGAAAAAATTATGCGGAACACTCACCACTGCTCCACCATTTCTTGCCATTAATTATATAGCTATCTCCATCTTGCTCGATGCTACAATCAATATTTGTGGCATCACTTGAAGCTACATCAGGCTCTGTAAACAAACAAAGATTGGATTTACAGGCAGGCAGATATCATTAGTTTGCAAAAGAGGCTTAGATAAGGGAATGCAAACTCTGAAGAACAGAAGCATCCTTGTCTCTTTCATTTTCCATTCTTCCTCAATTCCACCCTGGTCCTCCCCTCTCCTATACATTGTAGGTACTTAATAAATATGCATTGGAAACCCTGAATGAATGAAGTATTCTATTTCTAAAGCGTGAGACTCAGATTTTTGAGAGAGGGACTGTACATATTCTGTAACCCCCTGTTAGTGCATTGTAAACACTATATCATTCTGTGGGTGTTAAATAAATGCCTCTTACTCATTTAGGTGAAAATCAGTTTTGTTATTACAAATAGTTATAGAAAACAATAAAATCTGGCCTTTATTGAAAGTACTTAATTATAGACAACTGAAATTAAGTTTAACTCAATCATGAAACAATGTTTTGTCTTTTAAAGTGTTCTTAATTATTGTTTCCTATGTATAAACAGTATACAAAGTATTTTTATTAACATTTTCCTAGTTTTAGTTTCTTGTATGATTATAATTTGAGTCATATGTCCATTTTTCTAGGTTTACAGGAGAATTGAGTACTTTGTATCAATATAAAATTATCACAAAGACAAATATTTCACACATAAGGACAAAAAAAATCTTAAATTAGAGAGCAATTTTAGAAATGAAAGTTAAAAGGTTATGAGACTAGATTTACTCTGCTACTAATGCTAAAGCAGGATGCCAAAAAATATCATCCGGTGTTCTCCCAAAGGTGAGGATAACTTTATTCTGCATATTAAAAACTGCAAAATTTAAAAGCAGGCTCAAAACAAACATATTCACATTTCTGGCCATTGGTAAATTTGACTGAAACACACAGCCACATTCCATGCTTCTTCAACTCACCCATAACAACTCCAGGATGACTGAGGACACAGGGGAGAGTGGAGATTTGCCTTTACCTGTCATACAGAAGGCAGAGGTAATGTCCCCTCGAAGAAGAGGCTCCAGCCACTGCTGCTTCTGTTCCTCACTTCCATAAAGGTGCAGTACCTCCATGTTCCCTGTGTCTACAAATAGGAATAAAAAACATTTATTTTACGTTTAAAATTTTACTAGTATGAAATTCACAACTTTATGTAGAAAATATAGGCATGCATCTTTTAAAAGCTAATATTTTCTAACAAAAACATTTGGAAACACACAATAAGTACAATTTGCAATGATGGCATGCCACTATTGTAAGTATGTGGCATTCAGTGCACATTTATTTAATTTCTTCTGAGTCAGACTCTTGCCCAGTTCATCCCAGCAACACATGGCTCCAATAAAGTCTAAATCAAGTAAGACTGAAGAAAACAATTCACTGGAATAGATCGTGCCTGCTACAATTGCAAATCATGTATGCCCTGCAGGGAGTGAATGCAATGTTTCAAGAGAACAATTAACATTACATGTCTGACTGATGTCCCAGTTCTTAAGTCTTCATACTATTCTTCAAACATGCCCTGGGCTTTCTATCTTCCACATGTTTGCTTGGACAAGCTCTTTTCTCTGAAAGTCTATCAGTCATCCGTAAATAAATTCCTGCTTATGATCTCTTTTCTCTGCGAGAACCTCCAATTACCCATTCGAAACATCTCTTTCCTCTGAACTCATATAGCAATTATTTTTATCTCTAACATCGCTTTACAGAAAAGTACTAAGTCTTCTCTCAAGCATGTGAAAGACAGAATCCCTGCCCTGGTTAAAAAGCAGCAGCAGATAACTTTCCCAACTCTTGGATGATAGTATTTGGTACATGATACACTGTGGTATCTCCCTCAGCCAAAAAAGCAATGCTTCATGTTTTCCATGAATAGAATGCTCTAAGACACCTTTGTGGATTTTCACTCCGATCAGATTTCTAAACATACTATGTAAAACATCTCCCTTTTGTGCAAATTACTCAAGATTTTGAAGAACAATTTTTCAGTATCAAGTCTTAGAACAACTTTAAGGATAATTACTTCAATGCCTATGAAAACTAAGTTAAATCTAAGTTAAGTCCTTCTAGATATGTTCGTATTCTGTTCAGATATTCCTCATATAACCAAGACGCACAAAATTCCTAGTAGATTAATTGAAGCTTCACATTAAATAAGACAGAAAATTAGTCTTGAGTTACATTAGATGAAACTCATTGTTTGCATTCTTTGCTTGTTTTAAATTCAGTGTTACTTTTTATAATTCAACTAAGATAAATATTGAATAAATATTCCAAAATTATCAGTTATTCTGAGAAGCTGTCAAAATTATCATTTATAAATTGTGAAAGTAAGCTCCATTATTTCTACAAAAAAATGTTTTCCCATTAAAAAATCATCCCAACAGCCCCCAAATCCAGCAGTAGATTTGGGATTAAAACTGCTATTTCCAACATTCCAATATACAATATTGTATGATTTATTTAAGGGTAAATATACAAATTGGAAAAACACATGTTATAATCATGGTATCTGGGAAATGATTTAGGTAACTTGGATAGAAACTGATCTTTTGTAGTTAAGAAAGTTCATAACGTATTTAACAGCATCACTTACATTCCTTTCTTCATCTGCTTTGGAAATGCTCTAAAACACAATGTTCAAGGCTTTCATGAAGATATCTCTACCACAAAAGAAAACACCTAGTTTTCTACTTCCAGTTTTATATATCTTACTTGCTGAGTAGAGTTGCTAATCATTCCTTGATCAAATAACATATATTTTCCTGCCCAATTTGAAAATTTCAACAGTTTTCTGATATCATTTAAATAATACAAGTGATAGACTTATGAAATTTTAATATGAGGAAAAAATCCATGACCATCTAGTAACAAGTGAGTTCGCAGGTCAAATGGAAAATAATGGGAGAGCTGCATCTGCAAGAATGTCTCCTAGAGACTTATTTGTCATATTATGGCCATTTGTGTATCATGGAATCAGTCTGATTAAATATGGCTAGCATGCCTTAAAAAATAAAACAGAATACATTAGATTAGATTTAGTGGGAAATATCTGAATGCACTACATGTAGTAATCGAAAGTACTGTTTTATGAAACTTTTGTTTCTTGTAACATGTAGGAATATTTATCCATCCATCCATCCATCTGCCCATGCAAATGCTACATATTGGGTCACAATATAATGTATATTTCTTACCATGAATAGCAATAAAAACGTTTCAAGTTAGAAGATCACTAATTAATTTCCCTTTCTACAAACTCATGCTACCTATTGTAGTATATTGTAATAGCTTTATTCAATTGGTATAACTCTTCAGAAACTTTGCAGAAAGATTCCTTTTCATTTACAATGTATCATTATTAGATTACAATGCAGTAGAGTGATTTTTGGATCAGTATTTTGAAAAGGGAAGTCATCTCAGGGCCAAGCTCTGTCATCATCAGACATCTATGAACTGTCTTAGTAATGCCAAAAGAGAGAGAGAGAGAGGGGGGGGGGAGAGAGAGAGAGAGAGAGAGAGAGAGAGAGAGAGAGTCTGGAATGAAGCCACTTTGCTAAATCCAGAATATGTTTTCTCCCAGAAGTCAAATATAATTGCATATCTCTCTCTCTCTCTCTCTTTTTTTTTTTTTTTGGCAGCTTAATACTGCTTTAACTCTTGGGGAAAGCCTTAGCCACAAGGCCATACAATGAGCATGAAACTTGTGTGGGGATACTATCATCCTATTACAAATCAAGTGAAAGTCCTTGACTAATAGCATCAGAATAACCAGAGTAACTGGGGACAGGAGAAGGGGGAGACATTCCATTCCTACTTTAGATATACTAAATTAGAATCTGTAGAGATGGAGCTTGGGGGGGAAGATGGTGGCGAGGGGAGTGCATTGCCCCCGTGTGCCGCGTCACAGTGTGGGAGAATGACGAGTCAGGACGGCTAAAGGCTATCTTGTTAGGAATTTCCAGCAATAGTGGGGTGCTCCGAGATGGAGCTTGGGAATATGAATTTCCCTAAAGCTTCTTAAGCAGTTCTACAAATTCAGGTCTGAAAATACCTCCAACAGACTACATTCTAGGTTTACCTCTCCTTCCTTCATTTGATTTTTCACAAATATCCTCAGAGGCATCCTTGACTCCTCCATTAACAACCCATATCTAATCAGGAAATTCTCTTGGTTCCCTCTTCAAAATATCCTTAGAATCTTTCCACTCACCACTCCCTCCACAACTACCCTCGTCTGAACCATCATCATCTCTCACCAGGATCACTGAAGTAGACTTCCTGCTTCCCACCTTCCCTCCTTTCATCAGTTCTCACATAGCAGCCAAAGTGATTCTTCTAGATCTGAAGTTAATCTTATCATTGCTTTGCTCCAAATTCCCAAAGGTTCCTCTTCTTCCTGAAGGTATAACCCCTTACCTGCCCAATAAGGCCCAACACATGAGGCCTTTTCCTTTCTGAACCCTTCTCCTGCTCTTCTTCCTCTAGCCACATTGGCCTCCTTAGTTATTCCTGGAATACACCAATAACACTTTTGCTTTCAGGTCTTTGAATTTTATGTTCCTTCTGCTATGAAAACTTCCCCTCCCCACCAAGTATCAGTAGAGCTAAGTCACTCAATCACCTTCTACCTCTTTATCAAATGTCATTTTCTCATAATTGTAACCTACCCCTATCCTGCTATTTATTTTTGTTACAAAGTACTTTTCATCCTCAGATTTACTGCTTAATTTACTTATTTCTTATCATTATTATTTATTTTTGTTTCCCTTTATTAGAATTAGACCCTTAAAGGCAAGGTTCACTGACTATTTTATTCCCTATCATAAAGACCTGTGGTTGGCACATAGTAGATAATCAATAATTGGCAAATGAATGGAGAGATAGTGAGGCTAACCAAAAGATTTGGAACTCTATTCAATCTCATGAGCCGTAGAAATACCAAATCTCCAATTAGGAAATCAGGATCCTCTATAACCAATCCCTTTTGTAGCTACTTTTCTTCACCATTTCCCTTACTGTAATGATGTTTAACAAAAGAGTAGTTCAATGAGAACCTCAAGACATCAAGTCCATTTTTATATTTAAATCAAAGCATATGAAAAATAAAAGTTATAGTGAAATTTACAAATCAGTGACTATGTAGAAAAACTTTATCAATGAAAGGTAGAAATTTTGAATAATGCTCAACAGTATCCGAGAAAATTCTGTTTTGAATTAATTAGTAACCTGGTGCTTGGCAGTTAAAGACATCTGGAGCAAAAAAGCATTTTCCTGTTTCTTCAGCTATCAAGGCATAGTCCACCTGGCTCAGACCGCTCACAGCTGGCAAAAACAAGTTCCAGAGGCCCTGTGCTTTGGCCATTTCCTGTCAAGGTGAAGAAAAAGCCAAAGTGAACAGAATTCATTAGGACCTAAATGATCTTATTTTAAAAAGATATTGGTGTTTATGCTTTCTGAATTAAAAATACAAAGTTTTTTTTAATAAAACCAAGCAGTTATTAATTCCTTATAAATCAAGAGTTTCTTAACTATTCAAGAAATGTCTTTTCCTCCAGTTTTCCTTAGATTTGGCAAAACAAAAACAAAAACACTAAATTTGCTTACTTTAGAGCTTATTAAATCTCCCATACTTGAGCATATTAAGCCAAATACACTATTTTACCTGTTTGAATTTCTTACACATGTTGCTAGTAAGACTTGAAAATGAGAAAGGTGGATTAAGCCCACGTGGGACAATGTCCTATTTTATTATTTTCCTTCCAGTTCTGGGGATTGAACCCAGAGTTTTACTCATGCTGAGAAAACTCTCTACAATGAAGCTACACCCTACACTTTAAGCTCCCAAGTGCCTGCTTTGACTTTGATCTTAGGTAAGTGATAGGTGATCATGAAGTTTTAATCTCATTTTTATTTGAATAGCTAAAATCACATACCATATATAGAACAATATATAGCCCAATTTATTGTTTATAGATTCTACTTTTGAGCTTTCTTCTAAAAATTACTGATGATTATCTTCTAAGTAAATAACAACAAAAACTAAGATCTCCAAAAACACTTGCATTTGCATTTTCTAATATTAAAGATTCTCTCATTTTCTTACCTTTAGTTTATCAATCACTAAAGGTTGTTTCCACTTCTCTATGGAATTTTCATTTTGAACATAGTATTCAAATACCTCCTTAAGGTAATAAAAAAAATATTGGCTTAAGTTAACCAAAGTAGATAATGTCACAAGTGGATAATATCAAAAGTAAACATTTTTGAGTGAAGAAACTTTTTCAGCTTCTATTAAATCAGTAATCTTTTTAAAACCAGAAACAGAATAACAAAAATTCTAAAGGTTTGCTGCTCACAAAATTATTCTGCCTCAATATTAGATAGTAAAAATCTAATAACCAAGATTTGAGTGTTTCATTTCCAGCAATACGCTAGATGGGCATAGAAATCCCTCAACTAAAAAGGTTAGGTAAAATATTAAAAACAATTTTGAAATACATTTAGTAATGCAAGGATGTGCTGGAAGGAAAATAAGAAATCCCTCAGGGCCAAGAAAAAACAGGCCTGATTTTTAAGATGTGAGAGAGTCCTAGAGCCAAGTTTGTCTGGGCCATAGAGGCTGATCTATGCTCACTTAGGCCTTGGGTGTTAATGGGCCACATAGGCAGGTGTCCAGACAAAAAGCAAGAGGGAGGATCTGAGATCACCTCTTTCCTCCACCAAAGTCAGAGTTCTTGATGGATAAAACTTAAAAAAACAAACATTAAAGAATACATTAAAAAAAACACACAACACACACCCCTAGACTGGTGTGGTGGTACACACCTGTAATCTCAGCAACTTGGGAGGTAGAGACAGGAGGACTGCAAGTTTGAAGCCAACCTCAGCAATTTAGCAAGACCCTGTCTCAAGATAAAAAATAAATAAATAAAAAGGGGTACAGGTATAGCTCAGTGGTAGAGCACACATGGATTTAATCTTCAGTACTTAAAAAAAATAAAATCCCACCCCTCTGAGGTAGTCCATAGAAGTAGAGAATCATATGTAGGTCTTAGTTCTGAGTGGAATAGAAAAAAGAGATTCTTCTAACTTAGTCTGCCTTCAACCAAGTTTGGGATCTGAATTCAAGTCCTGTGTGGTTTTAGGGAGAAAACCTCAAACCAAAAAATAAGTTTACAACATTCTTGGTGACAGTGTCCACGAGCACTTGGCAGAAACAAAAGTAAATCTTCTCTGAAAGAAAGGGCTTTAAAATAAAGGCCTTAAATAATTCCCTCAGATAAAATTACATTCCAAGGAACATGAGTATACCATGAAAAATTACTAATCACTCAAGCAAACAAGCCACCATAAACAGGAACTAGCAAAAACAATAATTCAACAAAACAAGCTCATACTTCCCAAAGACTACAGATACAGATAGAGTAACAGTGAGGCACATGATATAAAATATTTGTATTCAATAGATTTCAAAAGCAAAAACATTAAAAGTCTGTCAAAGAACTATCAAAATCAACAAGGCAAATTTAAAAATAATGAATGCAACTTGAGAAAAACATAACCTCAATAATTAATCTTAAGAACTCTGTGGCAGAGCTGGGTGTGTGGTGCACATCCATAATCCAAGTGGCTCAGGAGGCTGAGGCAGGAGGATTGCAAGTTCAAAGTCAGACTTAGCAAGACCCTCAGCAACTTGGCAAGACCCTGACTCAAAAAAAAAAAAAAGTGTGGGGATGTGCTCAATGGTTAGGTACTCCTGGGTTCAAACCCTGGTGCAAAAAAAAAAAAAAAAAAAATCTTCCCCAAACATAAAACCTCTGTGGCAGGGATTCTCAAACTTTGGTGTTATCAGTATCACTCGGTGAACTTGGTGAAAAAACAGGGGCACAGGCCTTAACCTACTTCAATGAGCCTGGGCTTCTGTGTTCTTTAGAGGTCTCCAGGCAATTCTGACATACTCCAAAATTCGAGAACTGCTATTATATGGATGAAAAATAGACTACATACAGCTTAAAAAAAAAAAACGGAAGAAAGATCTGAAGAAATTACTCAGGATGAAGAAGAGAAATTCAAGAGAAGAAAAATATGAGTGGTTAAGGGATATAATGGATTTAGAGAGAAGTTCTAACATTATTATTATTATTATTATTATTATTATTATTATTATTATTTTGGTACCGGGGATTGAACTCAGGGGCACTCGACCATTCTGCCACATCCTCAGCTCTATTTTGTATTTTATTTAGAGACAGGCTCTCATTGAGTTGCTTAGTGCCTCACTTTTGGTGAGGCTGGCTTTGAACTTGTGATCCTCCTGCCTCAGCCTCCTGAGCAGCTGGGATTATAGGCGTGCACAATTAAGTCCAGCTCTAACATAAGTTTTACTGGAGCCTTAGATGAAAAGAATGTTTCCATCTTTTTTGTAGTTCCCTAAACTGCAAAAAATTTGGAAACATTTTTGGAAATTTGGAAAAATTATTCCAAGAAGTTTTCAGAACTGATAAGTCAATTCTCAAATTCAGAAAATAAAATGAAGATAAAGCATAGTAAAACTACATAACATCAAAGAAAAAGAAAATCTCTTAAAGGGAAAAAGAGATTATTGATAATTAAAAAATTAAAATTGAAAGATGATATCCATAGTAACACATGAAGCCAAAAATCAGTGGGAAAATATCTTCAACTGCTGAGTGAAAATAACTATTGACCTATAATTCTATATAAAAAATAAAACTACCTTTCAAGTAGTAGGGCAAAATAAAGGTATTACCAATAAAAAAGTCATTACCCACTCAGCATCCCCCACCCCTCAAAAAATAGGGAAAGACAAATAAGAGTTTAGCAAGCAGATTCTCCCTAACAAACTTGATTCTAGAAGAAACACTTGAGTTGCAAGAAAGAATAATAAATCAATAAAGTAACAAATATGTGAGTAAATCTAAATATAAACCTAGTAAAATAAAACAGTAATAACTTCTAGTATGTGCAACTAAAAGAAGTTAAAACATAACGAAAATATTGGACTATATAAGCATTGTGCAATGTACTGCTATTATTGTATCTCTACCTGTTTTTATTTTTTTCCACAGATAAAATTACATTCCAAGGAACATGAGCATACCATGAAAAATTACTAATCACTCAAGCAAACAAGCCACCATAAACAAGAACTAGCAAAAACAATAATTCAACAAAACAAGCTCATACTTCCCAGGCTAGTAGAATTAACTGGGTTAAAGGCTATAAACATTGTCAAAACTCTTTATCCTTATTATCAAATTATTTCCAAAATTGTTCAGACCAAAAGACACTCATATAAGCAATGTATTGAAATGTTCTTTTCATTGAAGGATGGCTACCTTGGAGTCCTGCTTTATTTGGTGATAACTTCAACAAGGCAAAGATCTGTCCTTTCAAAAGTACGAGAATAAATAGCTGTTGTCATTTCTGTCAGGAAATCAGTTAAACTGGAAGATTTCCTGTTTAAGGTTGTTTATTTTTTCTATTCCTCATGTTGCTACAGAAATAGTCAGTGCTATTGTGTTTGGTAATAAACATATTATAATTTCCTTATTTCTGACTACCTCTCTATAATACTAAAGTTCTAAGAAATTAAATCACAGCAATACTAAAGTTCGAAAGAATTAAATTATGCCAGTGTTTACTTGCATTATTTAATACTTTATATTCTAAAGTCATTTAGGGAACTGCAAAATCTATTTGTGATTCAGAATTAAATAAAATACCTCATTGTCAGGGGGCTGCCCTGAACAGGAGCTATACACACATCTTTAAGTCCTGAGTAAAGAGGTATTGGACTGGTATTGCACCCTGCAATGAAAGTGGACTTTACCTCAGCTTGGATAAGAAAGGTGCAGCTCTGGAAGTGGGTGTCACCTGATGGGGCTGAATTACACCCACTTGTTTGTTGTAATTCTACCCTTCTGCCCTTTTTTGGATAGAATGTTCCATGGATTAGTCCCCTCATTAATAAAACCCGGGTTCAAGGCGTGCTTCCTCTCTTTCTTGCCTGCTTTGCCTCCTTTTGTGGGAACTGGGTCAGAGGAGTCATAGAAACCAAAGAAAGATATTTTTCTGTCTGGGTGTCTTTAAATAGTGCCAGCCTAGTTCTTCTGCAGTGACCATGACTTAGTTGTGTGTCGCAACACCTCATTACAAAAAAAAGTCCTTCTCAGTTCTTAAAGTATGAAAAATAATTTAATAAGCTAGGTGCTGCAGGTGCTGTAATATACCTGTGTAATATACCTCTGTAGCCCCAGCTACTTGAGAGGCTAAGACAAGAGGATAGCTTGACCTCAAAGTTTGAGGCCAGCATGACAATAAAGCAAGACTCCAGCTCAAAAGGAAAAAAAAAAAAAAAAAAAAAACCAAACTGTTGGTAAAAGACAAAAGCAAAAAATATATTTTGAGCCTGGTTAATATTCTCGAAATATCAACCTTAATTTGGTACTTCTTCATCTACTAACTGAGGAATATATTAGTTTAGAATCTTAAATCTGAGCATACAAATAATTTCACAGTATATGATTTTTACTTTAAACTTAAGTCTACTAGAAAGAATCAACAGTTCCATGGTTTATGTTTTACATGCTATTTTTAGGATTCTTTATCAATTTTAAATGGGAAGAACTGACTTTTACTATTTTCACAGATAATGGATTATGTTCTCAGTTTATGCTATTCAAAGAATATAAAAAGGTCATTGCCATAGTTTTGTGAAGCTTATTTTTTCATATCATAAAAACTTGAAAACTATGTAAAAATATAAAGTCATTGAGAGTCTTAGTAGCTAAAGGTAATGCTAAAATGTTGCTGTTTTATGACACAAACTTAACTTATAAATGTGACTGTTTTGGGTTTTGTAAAACTCAGTTATATACTACTGGATAGATTTTATATAGGATTTCTCCCCTTCCATTTTGAAAAACCTATTTATTTTTCTCCAATATAATTTCAAATGTGTATGTCTCACCATCAGGGATTGGCATCATTGAGAATCATTCTACCCAATAAAACAGATGTTGGTACAAGTTTTTAAAAGAAGAAAAAGTGCACATTGTCAGTTATGGCACATTCCAGATTTCAAAGATTTGTAAAGACAAAATGACTGTGGGTTTCCTTATCACATAAAACATGGAAAATCTTCTTAAAGATACAGGCTAGGGGATGTGGCTCAAGCGGTACCGCGCTTGCCTGGCATGCGCGGGGCACTGGGTTAGATCCTCAGCACCACATAAAAATAAAGATGTTATGTCCACTGAAAACTGAAAAATAAATACTAAAAAATTCTCTCTCTCTCTCTCTCTCTCAAAAAAAAAAAAAGATAAAGGCTGCCTTTTTAAAGAACTTATACAACATTTTATTTTATTGCAGATTCTTTGCAATATTTTAACTGCTGCATGATAATAATGTCAGTGGAGTATCACTGACTCTTCAGTGCTGCAGTGTCCACTGAATGCCTATTCACATTTATAAGTGAAAGAGACAACTCACAGACTGCATTTTAGGGTGAGCAGATAGGAATGAGGGAGGCTGACAGACACTAGAATCTCTATTCAAGCCCTACCCACCCCCACTAAAAGCAACAAAAGCAAAACAGAAAAACAGTACATGGAGGGCCCTGCTTAATCCACTAATCCTCAGTTAAAAACCTGACTTCTTTGAAGCCCATGGTTACTTTTTTTTTTTTTTTTTTTTTTAAGAATACTATTGCAGTCTGCTGTTTGGGGCAAATACCACTGCTATGCAGGGTTATGATAGACCAACCCAAGCAACCCATCTGCTAATTTCTTCAATCAATCATCGCTCTTTCTCTTCCCCTTGGCATTCTTGCTCTCCTTCTTAGCCATTCACAGAGAACTCCATTTCGGATAAATGGTTACCACCTGTGCTATAACCAGCTCTTTTTTTTTTTTTTTTTTTTTTAATTTTTTTTATTGGTTGTTCAAAACATTATAAAGCTCTTGACATATCATATTTCATACATTAGATTCAAGTTGGTTATGAACTCCCAATTTTACCCCAAATACAGATTGCAGAATCACATCGGTAACCAGCTCTTATTTCCAAATTCTTTTGAAATGTGGCTCATACTGTAATGATTTCTTCTTGGCTATGATCTACTCTGTTTTCCAAATCTAATGTTCATTCTCTTCAAAACCTTTAGGCATCCTGCTTTCATGCTTTTATCAATATATTCCATTTTCTAGGAAAAAAAGTTTTTTGATTCTAGGGATTAAATCCAGGGGCACTTTACCACTGAGCTAGAGCCCTTCTTATTTTTTTATTTTGAGAGGGTCTCAGTAGTTTAAAGTCTAGTTGCTGAGGTTGGCCTCAAACTTGCCAACATTCTGCCTCAGCCTCCCAAACTGCTGGGATTACAGATATGTACCACCGTGTATGGCTTCCAAAAACTTCTTATTATTGTTAATTCAATAGTCTTCTGATTACGGGAAGGGAAGAAAATGTTAAATGCAGACCACCACCTGAAAAGAAAAGTGTTGTATTTTCTTTTTAAAAACCAAAAGTTCAGAACTTTAAAACTCATAATTGGGGCTGGGGATGTGGCTCAAGTGGTAGCGCGCTCGCCTGGCATGCGTGCGGCCCGGGTTCGATCCTCAGCACACATACAAACAAAAATGTTGTGTCTGCCGAAAACTAAAAAATAAATACTAAAAAATTCTCTCTCTCTCTCTCTCTCTCTTAAAAAAAACCTCATAATTGAACAAATACTAACTAAAGCAGAATATATTCAGTGATAATCTCTGGACATGAGAAATGACTATTTTTAGAAAGAAATTTCCTCATATTTAAGCATTTTTAAATAAACTATATCTCACTCTATGAGAAATGTTCATCTCAAGCTAGATATTTACTTTAAAATATGAAATTTATATAATTCAAACAGCACTACTGACTGCCCTACAAACACATACCAGCTCTGAACATTTTTGTTGAAAGAATGTTGGTCTTTTTTGTCCCTATTTGATTTGCCAGTCTAGCTCTAGACCTCTCAGAATCACAGGCAAGTAGAATAGGAATTTACCATATATCTGGTAAGACCTATTCACACTGTAGATGAGGAAACTGAGGCCACACAAGACCAACTAACACAACACCACCTAACCGTGGAAGGGAGGGATTAGAATCAAGCACTTACATTCCTACACCAGGGTTCTACCCACACACATCCCCATCTCCTTCCATAATTTCATAAGAGGTTTTATCTTTTTTCACAGCTCTTGTCAACTCTTATTTAATGTCTGTCTTTCTTGTAAAAGTATTTAAGTGCCATAGGAGCATAAGCCCTATCTTGTTCTTCATAACTTGTTGTTATGTACTCAATCATTATTTGTTAACTGAATGAGTGAATGCATCATACCGCCTCCCTATTTACTCTCCATGAACTTAGTGTAACTTAACATCTTCACAGAGTAGCATATCGGGGGAGAGACCGGGTAATACCTGTGAACAGCTTGAAATGATAGGTGAAATTTTCTGGGCATTACCCTCTTGTGAAGTCTGCAGTTCTCATTAAATTCTTAAAGAGAGTCATGTTTTTTTTTTTTAAAGCTGAATGTTACTGCTGTAGGAAAAGGTACCCAAAGGAGAGTTTTACTCCAACATATTTAGGCTCCCAACTGTTAATTCTGTGTGACTTACTTTCTATTCTACAGACTTACCTGTACAGCCCTCTGGCATGTGTGTTTGTGAGACAGTGAGTGTGAGATATACTGGGAACTGAACCTAGAGGGTCTCTACCATTGAGCCACACTCTGGTCCTTTTTATTTTATTTTGAACAGGGTCTGCTAAATTGCCCAGGCTGGCCTTGAACTTGCCGTGCTCATGCCTCAAACAATAGAGTCCCTGGGATTACAGACATGCACTACCATACCCTGCTTCTCCCACTGTCATATTTTAGAAGCTTGGAATTTCTTAGGTTCTGTGTAAGACGAGGAGGGGAATCTGGGTAAGAATTGACTGCAAATAAAATAACACCATGGTTCTCCTACAAGCAGAAATAACAAAAGTATTCAATAGTCTTTTTAGCACATAACATTGTTTATAAAATACCTTTTCAGCAGGAAGAATGTGTTTTTTCATGAAATGCTTCACCTCCATAAGAACTTCCTGGCCTTTCTTAGTCTGTAGGAACAACTGTCCTGTAGTATCAACCTGTGGCAACACATTACTGAAAGTTCTTGACCAGAAAAGAAAAGAAAAAAAAAAGTTATCAATATGTTCAAAATCAAAATTATCTATTTCTGAAGATAATGTGAAGTCTGCCTTCCAGCTCCCCCGAATATCCCTCAAAGAGAGTTGCCATACTTTAATTTTTGTTGTCTTTCGTATTATGGAGTAAATATAGAATCACCTTATCTTGAACATTAAACTTTAATGCTTAAAGCACTATTTGGGAAAAAATATAAGCCTAGCATGACCTCAATCAATGCTAGTTTTGAATCTTTGTTGAAGTCATCTGTCAAAGTCACTAAAAAGAAGGAAACTGAACACAAATTTAATACTTATACTAAAAGAAACACAAGTATGACTTCAAGGTTATTCTAAAGAAGACCTTTAAAGGTAAACACAAAGAACAACAGTTGGTTATCATGTTGTTACAGATCACAAGTATCCATCTATATGAAGAAATGTGGAAAACCAACTATTGTAATGCTATTCTGCAGGTACTTGTGGCTTAGGCAAAAATTTCCAGGGACAACATTATACACATATTCAGTAACAGGAGTATAACTAGAACAGGGTGTTAGATGCCTCAAAAAGCACTCTAATGATGGAGACATGGATTTCAAATACACTTATGAAGGGGAGTTGTACGGAAGATGGAAGGAGACCCTCATTGTTATACAGAATACATGTATGATGTTGTGAGGAGAAAAAGAAAAAAAAGTGTGTCATATTAGATTGGATAGAGAGAAGTGATGGGAGGGGGAGGGGGATAGGAAGGGCAGCAGAATAGAATAGACATTATGATTGCTGTATGTATATAGGGGACTGTATGACCAATGTGATTCTGCAATCTGTACAATCAGAAAAATGAGAAATTATACCCCAATTGATTCAAATGTATGAATTGCCAAGATCATTGTAATGTCATGTGTAGCTAATAAAAAAATACACTTATGAAGTGTATGAATAAAATACTGTGGGAGAAAGTAATAAATAAGCTTATATACTACATAATTTTAAAGAGGTATAATTAAAATATTAGAAGGAACTATTAGTCAAATATTAGAAGGAAACATTTGAGTTGTACCTATATCTTTAAAAGGTTATACATTCAAATTGATAAAAATATGGTAATTTTTAAGTCATAAATATGGGAATTTTCTTTTCATTTTGGGTCAATTTATTTTTATGCATATAAGAGATTTTACCAAAATACTATCATAACTAGCAACAGAAATCCTGGCACCATCAACAAAAATAATGCCTATCTCATTAAGTTCATAACCTTCACATACCTAATTATTTCTTAATGAATGAATAGACTGTTTTTCCTCCCTACTCTCTGTGAACTTATTCAAACAGACCTAATTAAGGCTCTAATTTGAGTTACTGAAGGACTCTGTTTTCCTTACCTTTTTGAGAGTTGTAATCCAGTTTCTGCCAGAGGTTGCACAATATTGGCAAACAGAAAGCTATCCTCAGATGAATTATTTCCTAAAAGATATCTACTATATACTCCCTATAAATAAATTAACATAGGGCAATTAAAATTTATTGAAAACTGTCCTTCAGCTATCCAATCAGTCTTTCCAAAGTTTCTCAGCTATGTGGGGAATTAAATTCAAAATACAAAGATGTAAATTAGTCTACCAATGCCATAAATTCACATGTAGGAGTAATAATTATACTCCACTAAATTAAAAGGTCATACTGGTATCATGTAGTTAAAACACTCTCATCCAGGGGAAATTGTAACTGATAATCAAAACAAACTTGAAAAGGATCCTAGCAATTACCAAAGACATCAAACCTGCAATTAACATCTCTAACAATCACTACCTTCTCTTCACAGTGAGGGTAAATCTAAAGAAATCAAAATCTGTAAAGGCAAAGAGAAGGCAATGAGATGACCTCTAATATTTAATCTCATTTGTGGACCCTTAATTTAGTAATTTACTATTTACTATTACAGTAATTTACTAATACAGCTTCCTTTGAACTGTGTTAGTTGAATATTAATCAGTTTTAAAAAATAATTCTCCATTTCTGTACTTCCAATATAATAAACACCCCTTTCCATCTCTCTAAATACAAGTGACTGGATTTCATTACTATTTTCTTTATGTAATTCTTTATGCAATAAACAATGTAATGATTTTTCTATCTTTCCAATTTTACATTTCCAGTTAGAATGGAAAGTTTGTGATCACGTCTAAGGCTATTACTATGTAGTTTACAATGAATATTTTAATTTCAATTATAACTCATGTCAAATTTTTATTTGAAATGAAAATCATTTTAAATTTAAAGTCTATTTGGTATCTGATTTATAGAAACTGACAGATACTGAACACATTTCAAGAAATCCATTCATTCAACATGATCAGCTGTTAGAATATAGGATGAGACGTAATATACTATTTCCTGGAGGAGATTTCAGTTGTTCATGTATAGCATAAATTCTGAGGACAAAGAAAATTAAATGTAATTTTCTTTATTCCTTCTTTTCTCATTTAAAAATTTTCTGAAATCTCTTATTTACTGTTCTTTTTCTAAATCCTACTTTTGATGAAGCATCTCAATTTCTTAAAACCTTTAAAATTCAAGGTAGCTGGAAACTGGATAAGAAAAAAGAAGGCATTTGTTTATGTTAAAATTGGAGAAAACCTGAATTTATGCTCTATATCCTCTCAAAATTTATTACATTAAATATGACTGTTAGAAAATGCAAAATTTTTGTCATTTATTCACTCAAAAACATAATAAGCAGCTACCATATATAAGGTACTGGGATTCTTCCCTTGTCATCAGTTCTGGTTAGCTAATGACTTTTTAGTCTGAAGCAGGGAGGCTCAAAAGAGTGTAGCTTGTTTTCACATTGGATATTCAGGAAATGGCCAGTTTCTACCTACTTTTTGCTGTCATTATGTCTTTCTCTCTCTCTCACCCTCCTTCTCCTATGTTTATTATACAAAAAAGTGGCAAAACATTTTTCTACTCAAAATTTCCCTTACTAAAGGTCCTATTCTGTAGATTTACATTTTCTCCATAACTGATAGCTGGTCTTTAAGAAAAGCAAGATAGTCTAAGGATTAAAAAATATCAAATCCTGAAGACCAAAAAATACTGTTAACAGTACATTAGTAAATAATGTCGAAACATATTCAAAACAAATAATTACCTGTGCTATTCCAGCCAGTTTAAAATATGAAAATGCAAGAAAGAAATTCCAGTTAGGAAGAATAGGATTAATTCCCCTGTAGCGGCAATATACTGAAACCAGTTCTTCCATTGATGGTATTCCTGTACAAAAAGTACACAATATAAACTTAAATAAAAAGAGAGGGTAAATATTTCAAAATGTTACAATATGACATATATATGTAAAATAATATAATAACCATTAATCCACACATCAAACATGCTCTAAATATTGATTCTCAAAAGAACATTATATACAAAGGATTATATTTTATCACAAACTACTAACATAAAATACCATATTTATAAAAATTGATAAATAAAATTAATGAGAAACATTTGGAAGAAACAAAAACTAAAATTACAATATAATTAGTTATGATAATAATAAAGATAATTCTGTGTTAATAGCAACTTAGACAACATTATGTTTTGTACCTATGCTTTCTTGAATTTGAGAACTTTGATGCAGCATTGGAATGGTCCTTGGCCAAAAGTAGAACAGAGAAAGATAAGCTAAATCTGACAGAGGATGACCAGTGGTTGAAAGTTCCCAATCCAAAACTGCCAAAACTCGAGTCTGTAATTAAAAAATTTAAAAAAAGGTCTTTTAACATATTAAAATTCAAATCAATGAAAATAAGAAAATAGATGAAATAGAATATACTTAAAATCATGTTTTCCATCAAAAGCCAATATAGAGCTATAGTTTGCCAGTTTTTACCCCCAGTGGCACATCTATCCCATTTATGAAGTAATGAAATGAATTAGCCTTCATTAGGTAGAGCCAAGTCCTCTGGTTTCATTACTGGCCTTCAGTCCTTCTGCATTTTACTTTACTTATTTTACTAATAAGCAACACAAAAGCAGATGAAACTTCTCAACCAGGAGTAGTTGTGATAAAGAAGAAATTTCAATAGTTAATTGTATTTCAAGAAATCATGTATAATTAAGCATTAGCTCTGGTGATTAAATCTAGCTACATAACAAATCTTACACCAGTATGGCAATACTTTTTACAGAGGATCATTTCATGTTGTAGATATAAAACCACAATTTCTATAAAAGATGCTTTTTATGAATACAAAATCTACTATTATACAATAACATAATAAAAAGATCATTATGTAATTTGGAGCCTATAGAACAGAAAGTTTTTTTATTCTATTATGTAACATGTATGAAGGGAAAATGTCTTTTAAGAACACAGAACAATGTAAATACAAGGGAAAAAAGCAACTTATAGATTAATATGTGTAATATGGTTCTATTTTTGTTTAAAGAAAAAAGTTACAATGAATACTCCAAGTTGAAATGATATGCACTAACTGATTGCAAGGGACTGAGGCAGGAGGGAAGAGGTACAGGGAGGCATAGCAACATCTGAGCAATGTGAGCTACTAGGCTTCACGGCTCTGTATAACAGTGCATGCTTGCACCCTCTCACTTCTCAGTGGCTCTGGGGAAAACTGTGGGCTTTGCATCAGATCTATTTTCAAATCCTAGTTCCATCATTCACTAACTGGTCAAGTTAACCTTTCAGACCTCAGTTTTCTCTCAGCTATAAAATCTACCTCTTACATGAGGTTAGTATAAAGAGGCACTAGATAAGGGCAGGTAGCATATCTGTTCTGTTTCCCAGTTCCTAACAAAGTACATATGTACCTGGCACTCAGTAGGTGGGCTACATGTATTTATTCAATGAATAAGTACAGAGTCTGACATATGGCAGGCAATCAAAAATTTGTAGTTATTGCTATAGGAAACATTGATTATTCCCTTCTCCATGACTACTAGATTTCATAATATTTTTTATTGTTGTGATTATATTGTATTATAAGAGGATCATTTCATGTTACTATTCTACCTAGTAATTTATAAGTAATTTTAACTGTATTAAAATGATTTGGATTCCAGAGAGATTAACTAAAGCGATTTCTACAGACCAAAAAGAAGATGACTTGGCTCAAATCCATAACAGCTGATATCCTTACATCTGCGACAGTGATTCTCCCACACCTGGAGGCTAATGAATAATGAACACCATTAAGGCCTATTTCAAATGTAAGAAACCTTGGGGCTTACTTGTGGGAATACCTTCAGACTCATATGCAAGTTACAGGAAGAAGGATGGGATATCATAAGAAGAGTCAAACCCAGGTGGTAACCAGGATGCCTTTTTCAATATCCATTTTATTATTGCCTTTTCCCATATCATGAAGTTTTATTTTATTTTTTGAGCTCATACAGACCTAGGTTAATGTTTTTCTGATCAGTTCTATTTTTTGACTGTGGAGTTTTTAAACATTGCAATGGAGATTTCACCTGTGAAAAGCTACAAGGCATTTACTATTATGTTATGTGTTGTATGTATTGTGTTATGTGTGCACACTTCTGTTTTGTGTTGTATGAATGTATGTGCGTATGTCCATATATCATATATGAGGAGCGCTCATGAAAAAATGGATCCAAATATTTTTTTTTATTCATGTGATTTAAATGGTTTAATTTAAATTGGGTAAACAGCTGTTGAGGATTGTTTTAATATGTGAACAAAAAAGAAGGTTAACAGATCTGTTTGTTTACTTTTACCTTTCCTTTTCATTATATTTAATAATTCTGTTCAGGATAATGTAAATTGTTTAGAAAATTGCTTTCTTTTAGTGCCTGCTAGAATGTTACATAATTATGTAAATTGTTTAGAAAATTGCTTTCTTTTAGTGCCTGCTGGAATGTTACATAATTTTTCTTAGCCATCATTGCCAGAATTCCTATCTTCATCCCAGTGCCGGTGAAGACAAAGATAAAACCAAACTACAGCTTCTGCGATAGCTATCACCACAAACTGTATAAACTGATGCATCAATGAATAATAACTCAGCAAGTGATGCTCAATCAAGGAGTCGATTTACTTTGGGAGGAAATGGACATATTAATAGATTCCTCTGCTTTGAACTGTTTGCAGAACTTGCCTGGACTATGTATCACTTGCATGCATTGTGAACTATCTGTTGGTGCAGCGAATTGTGGTAGTGCTGGGGTATCTTTACTGATGGTGTCATTGGTGGTACAATTTTTTCAAAAAGAGCCATCATTTGGCTTGGTGCCGTGGCATTTTGCATCCTCCTCCCTTCTGCTTGTGATGGTCTAAAATTTGGGGGGCAACAGAGGTAAGGCAAAGAAACTCACCCCCCCCCATTGGCACCAAGGCCAAATTTGGGGCCAACAGAGGTGAGGCAAAGAACCTCACCCCCCCAATGGTGCAAAGGCCTATCCACAAGTATGGCTGTATGCTGGACTGGTAGCCAATGACGGGTAAGATCCAATTACAATGGTACCAACCTAAGACAGGAGGCTGAAGCCTTGAGGTCAGTTCATCCGATGACGGGTAAGGACCATATGTAGTATTGGACAACCTAAGACAGGCACGGTCCCTAAGCCACATGCTTGTTGTTTAATTAAACAGAAGGGGGGAGTTGTTGAGAGCCACAGTTTAGTCGGAATGATGCCTGGCATTTTGCTAGAGGGAATGGTTGAAAGGTGACCCTGCTTCGGGAATAGGGCGGCTCTGGGATTAGGGCGGATCCTGCTGCCTCAGGGCGCCCGCCCACTACTTTGGAGTTCCCGTTGAGTTCTCAGTGGGGGTTCAGTGAGAATTGTCAGGCGGAGCCTGGTGGAGGGAGTGTGTTCCCGGGAAGTGTGTGTAGAGTGCCGGTAGAGTTCGGGAATAAAGAGTTGCTGTTTGAACCTACAAGGCTTTGTGGTGGCTCAGTTATTTGGTGCCCAGCCAAACTGCGGCAAGTATGTAATAAGTTTCATTATCTCTGTACATTTCACTACAAGCAAAACCTGCCACAGCCCGGCTGGCTGGGCAAAATAGCGGGGGGGGGGTGGGGGGGGGTGGGGGGGGGTGACAAGCAACCTGTGAAGGTTGATACAGCGGGGAGCCGCTTTATTGTAGGAGAGTAGAGGTATATATACCCTTAACTGATTATACACAGCTTGTTTCAATTAACATCATCCAGATACAGCAATCCTCATCATCTTAACAATTATACACAGCTTAACTCAGTTATCATGTAGATACAGCAATTACCCAAAAAGGAATCTCTATCATCTTAATGGCTCACTGGCATTACTTCATCTTAATAATTACACACAGCTTAACTTAATTAACATCATCTTAATGGCTCACTGACGTTACTTCTCAAACCACTCCTCCTAGCATACTGCCAGGCGCCATCTTGACCTGTTTGTGGCTCTCAGCAAAAACCAATTCTTTCAACATAGATTCATTCAGAATCATGTGAGCACCTGCTCTATAAATATAAAAAGACCTGTAGGTATATTCATATTCTCTCTCTCTCTCTCTCTCACTCACTCACTCTCTCTTCATCTATTATGTAGATTCCAGAGACAAAGATAAGAAAAAAATAAAGACATAATCCTTAACCTGAATAGAAAAAAAAGCTTTCTATCATATTTCTGTACATATATATAGGGGAGCACATGCATATACATATCTGTCATGTAATCCAGAGGATGATTTTGCAATTTGTGATCTTATGGGGAATAAAAAGTCTAATTCTCTACTGTGAGAATTTTAAAAAGAAGGAGAAAGATAAACTATTAACTGAAATGACATTTTAAATTTTTAAAGCTCTTAGTGTTAGTCCATAGTGAGTATCTTTTCTTCTTCAATTATTCTCATAGTTTGCCTTGTGTGATGTGTAGGCACATAGGTATATATTGTTCTTTTGCTAATTCCTGGGTATCTTTTCTCTACATCTCTATTTTGAGCTCATTAGGAGATACATTTCCTTTCCATCCCATGTTTCAGAGCACACAGTTAGTAATGAATAAATGCTAATTGACTTGGATTCATGGATTACATCCATGAAGAGTTAGCTACAATAGTTATTGGAGGCAGAAGCTATTTAAGTTTGACTTAACTAGTAATTCTGAGATTGCTGAGTATAAAGTAGAAGATATTTTCCTAACTACTAAAAAATTAAAAGGTGATGATATATATTAACAAATTAGAATTGCAGCTAAATAACTAAAATCTATGTCTTTATTGGTTGTTTCCTTTTAAGAAGAAATGTCTCTCCCAGCAATTGGATACCTTGCTTATCTGAAAATAGATGATACCTGTTCAGCTACTTTAATCCCATAAAAGATGGATTTAAAATGTGAGATTAAAGATAAAAGGGAAAAATAATTGGATATTTATAATGGTTTACCATTATGTTCAGCATATTAAAATTAAACTTTAAATATCTTAGTAAAGAACATATAATCTTTTGGGAGACCTAGGTTTGTATTTTTCCTTTCTTAAGTACAGAATAGAAAGCAACTATAGTTACATAACATATTAAGGGCTCTATTAAGAGTAGTCAAAGATAAGCTCCAAGATATTAATGAATCAAGTAATATTGACCAAGACAAGGCAGATCCTGATGTTTTAATGAGTAAGATTTTGTAATTTTCCAGGTTATAAATTGGCACTATTTAATTTTCCTAATCTTAATATAGATAGCTTAGAATCTGGAATTCATCAATGCTATTAAACAAAAGTTTATGCACACACACTTGAAGCGGTCCCCTACTTATGACTGTTAGACTTAGAATTTTCTGTCTTTATGAAATGGTGCAATGACCATATGAATTTCGATCTTTTCCTGGGCTAGCGATGTGAAGGATAGTACCCTTTTATGGTTCTAGACAGTGGCAGTGAACCACAGCTCTCCATCAGCCATGTCATCATAAAGGTAAACAACCAATACTTCCGAGCATACTGTGTAGGTAGGTCATGACATTCAGTAGGTTAGGCATGTTAAACACATATTCAATTTTTGATATTTTCAAATTACAATTAGTTTATCAGAATCTAATCCCATTACAAATTGAGAAGCATCTGTATATAATTATATATACATAATTCTAATATCCGGACTAACTTTCCTATGAAAAATTTCCTGTCCTGCTGGTAAATATGCTCACATATCCTTATAAGGATACTTTGAATAATGAAAACTATGCAATGCAACTTATGTATTTTTTCCCTGTACTCTTTTTGTAAGGAAGGAATATAAAACCCAAAAGTGTAGCATATAAGTTTACAGCAGCTTTTCCTGTTCTAAAAAAAATTTAGCATTGTGAGAAAATTAATGGACCCAGAAAATAAGAAGCAGGATTGGGGAACTGTAAATCTTTGATTTGTCTGTACCCTTTACAAAGAGTACACTGTGTACATTTACACAGGGCAAGGTTACATTAATCTCATGCAATTCTCTGAGGCCTCAAAAGAGGCTTCTGGAATTCTGCCTTCTCTGAGCTTATAATAAACAAATTAAAAATTCTTAATAGCATAGAAAAAAAGAATCCAAAGAAATGTAATGAACCAGAAGAAAGAGCAAGAACATGGATGAGCCAAATATTTTAAATAATAAATGAAAAATGTCTTTGGTAACAGTGATGTACATATAAAAATTCCAAATCCGTTTTAAGTAGTAAATTAGATACCATTTAAGATTAGAACCAGCCTTAAAGGTAGGCATCTACCTGTGCTAGAAATAATTTTTTCAAGTTTTAAGTGTGTATACATCCTGAGTTGTAGGGAAGGAGGGGAAAGCAGGGCTCCATGGGGATGTCCAGGGGGCATCTACTTGCTTTTCAATTGAGACCTACTTTAGTTATTATAAATATGGCTTACAATACCTCCTTAGGGTGGAAAATGATGTTATCTAGCTTGAAATCTCCATGAATCAAATTGCTCTCATTGTCATTATCTGGCAGGTTTTTCATTAGCCACTCAGATAGCTGTTTCATGGCAGGGATGTCCTGATGAGCTGCAGCTTGATACTGCGATGTCCAGGTTGAAACCTAAAGATATAAATATGAAAAATGATAGAGCTGAAAGTGGAATGGAAGGTTGAGCCATTCTAAAATTAAAACAAATTCATTTATCTCAAATTTTATTTTACTCTGAAAAGCTTGAGATAATGCCTATAAATGAAAAATCACATAAGTTAAAACATTCATATCAGCCTCAAATTTTAAACACTCAGGTATTGCCTATCTTCCTTCATTTTACTCTCCTAGCATTTTGTCAAAGACAAAAACAAAACAAAACAAAACAAAAAAAACCCTGGCCTAGCTGGGCTTGGTGGCTCATGCCTGTAATCACAGTGGCTTGAGAGGCTGAGGCAGGAGGATTGCAAGTTCAAAGCCAGCCTCAGCAAAAGTGAGGCACTACTTGACCCAGTGAGATCTTGACTCTAAAAAAATACAAAACATAGTCCTCCAAAAAGTGGGACTATATTAGGTATCTGCATTTATCTTTCCATTTCCAAGTATAAGGTCCTTGCTTAGCATCTGGAAGGCTCAGTGGTCGAGTGCCCCTGAGTTCAATCCTCAGTACCAAAAAAAAAAAAACCCAAAACAACAACAACAACAACAACAAAAACTGTCCTACTCATCATAGGTGTGATATAGTCTTTATCCAGGAACAACTTTGTGGAAAAAAAAGAATGTACACAAACACTCATACAAATAAATAGGCATAGACCATTTCTTAAAAGGGCACAAGAAATAAGTAGCCCCTGAAAAAGGAAATATGGAGGCTAGAAGAAAAAAGGAGATTTTGACTTTCAATTTTAATTGCCTTTCTTAAACTCCCAGAGTCTTCTAAATATACTTCAGGTATGAATAGTGCAAATACTTTCTATCATTCTTAGAATTAAAAACAAATCCACTTTTTCAGACTCCTCCAACAAGTGGGACTATATTATGTATCTGCATTTATCTTTCCATTTCCAAGTAGTCCTTGCTTAGCATCTGGAAGGCCATCTTAAGTGAAAGCCACCATTGTAAGGAAAAAGTTTCACTTTCCCACCCAAGGGCGTTTCTGAGAAAGGCTCACCACTCCTTTACACTAACCAAACTCCTCTGATTCCTGAGCTTCCCCCATAAAAGTCCCCAGAACTCAAGCCTGTTTGCCTCTCTCTCTCCTATAGAGAAGATGCCTTTATTTGTCAGCTCTGACAAATAAACTCTTGTGTGTATCTCTGCCTGGTCTCCGTCTTTTATTTCTTACTTACCCATCTGTGGTTCCTTGCTTTCCCTTCACCAAGTGTATCTCTACTCAATTTAATGCAATAGAACAGAGATCTTTATCTTTAGAGTTTTACTAATCCAGGTTTAAATTATGTTCATGCCGCTTACTTGTGTATTACTTTGTCAGTGTAAGCCTTAGTTTCCTCATCTGCAAAATGGAAGTGAAAATACCTATGTCTTAGGGTTGTCACAAAGATAAGAAAGAGAAGGTCAATAACTCATCTGGTACAGGACCTGACACAGACTAAGTACTCTCCAAAACCTAATTCTCCCTCTCTTCAGCTTTCTCCCACCCAAATTGACATGTTTACAAAGGGAAACAGCCTCCTATATATCTGGTCTTGCTTTCCCTTGATTGAAAGGCTCACTATGTCCCCTATCACTCCAAATTTCGTCTTTCTTAAAAAACTTACTGCAAAATATCTTTCCCAGAAAGTTTTTCCCATCTAAGCAATCTCAGTGCTCTGAATGACAGTGCTCTTGTGATAAGCACCAAACAATTTACTACTAGGTTATACACTCTTTTATATAATTTTCTAGTTTCATGTATTTGAGATGTACAGGTTCATGTACAGTTCTCTCAAAAATGACAAGTTTCTTTAGAAGAACCTATTTCTCTTGTTATTTTTCACAATACTCAGAAAGAATTAAACACACAGTAAAGCTTAACAAATGCCTGCTGGCACAACTTAGAAAGGGAAAACTGTTTTCCCAGTGTGGTGCACACTTGATCCTGTAATGGGTAAACTAACCCAAGCCTGGATGCAAAATAAAACCAAGAACACTGTCCTGAGAATTAGTGCCTGGGAAAGGGAGAGTTCTCCCCTTTCTAGTCAGCTCCTCTTCTGGGAACTTGATTAGCACCATGCCCTCCTACTTTTTGGATTATAAATGACTTCTGCTAGAATATAACTACTTTCCTTTGAAGTATAAAAGTCCCTGTACCAGTGGAGGCACTGGGCCCAAGGCCTCATAAAAGGAGCCAGTTCTTCCCCTTATCATTCTCTGCTTTGTAAACAAGCTTAAAATCTTGTACACAACTATGTATTGTTTGAACTAGAAAATTTATGACACTACATAGCTTATAAATGTTGTGACAAACTGGTAATGCATGCTGAGAATTTGGAGTTTGATCTCCTCTGGGCCTGCTGGTTTAAAATAAAGTTTGAGCTCTCCACTCTTTTAGAGTGCCATTTGCCATTTCTTGCCTGATTCCCACAATAATCCCAGTGATTCAGGAGACAAGACAGAATGATTACAAGTTCAAGGTCAGCCGGAGGAACTAAGCAAGACCTGTCTTCAAATAAAAAATGTTAAAAAGTGGGCTGGGAATTATTAGCTCAGTGATAGAGTGCTTTTGTAGCCTGAGCAAAGCCTTGGGTACAATCCCCATAAAATCCCCAGAGAGAAAGAGAGTAAGGGGGTAGGGGGCAGAGAGAGAGGCCGAGAGGGAGAGGGAGGGAGGAGGGACTAGGCAGAAAATATATTGTAAGTTAAAAGAAGAATCTGAAAACAGTAGCCTAAAAATAAGTCAATCTAAAGAATTATGTAAAAATAACAAATAGCAAAGTTTCAGAAAACCATATAATGATTGGTTTTTATTTTAACAAATGAACAATATTTATTTCGAGGAACTTTAAAAAGTAGGCTTTTTATACTGACACATTACCTGTCTTTTGCAGTACCCAGCACCTGGACCATATCCCTCCAATTGCATTGTCTGTAAATTCAAAGAATGCAGTCGAGCCAGTGTCTCTACCATGGCCACATATATGGCTGAGCGTTCTGCTGGGCTAACTCTGGGAAGTGTGAAGTCACGAAAGATTCGGCCCTATGGATGTGATTATAATGGGTAATTTAAATACTTGAAACCAAAACTAATACTTTGTAGAATATGTCAGAAATACATTCATTTGTGAAACATTTACTATTGTAATAGTGGTCCACTTCCAACTTATTTTTAAAATGGACATGTTTCTTTCTCTTCCTCTCGACTACTCCCTAATCTCAGGGGAAACAGTATTACCTTTCTTCCCCATTTCAGGAAGATTCATCTGTCCTAGAGTACACATCCATTTTAGGAATGAAGTAATCCAGACTTGGGGGTGGCACCAGAAGATCTCAGAAATGACTATCTCCCAAATTAACAAGTGAATTACAACTCCAACAGAGAACACAGGGAAAGTAGCTTTGAATCACCTCCTTAAAAGACCCCTGTTCCTGCTGATGGGCAGAATCACAGCTTCTGGAACAGGGGTCTCCTGTATTTTTCCTTTGCTAGCAAAGTAATAAACCTTCTTTTTTCTTTTTCCCAAACTCGCATCCTTGTTATTGAATTGGCATCAGGGACAAGGACTGAGCTTTTGGCAACAATATAAGAGTATACGTTCAGAGGGAAAATATGAAGGTGTACTAAGATGAACACAAAAGTCAAACTACTCCCAACTTGAATTTTACCAGAAACAAACTAAAAAATAATTTGAATTTATTTTATTAATGGTTTGATCTTTTCTTTGGGAAATGTGCTATCCCCCCATACCTTACAGGACAATTTGCCATTTATAGATAGCTCTTTTCTGACACCTAGAGGAAGACTTAAAAATAAGTCAATATTCTCTAATTATTAAATTAGTTCTTAGTTTATTTCATCTCTCCCTCATTGTATATGCTTAAATTAAAACAAAAATTTAAGCCTTTACAAAGCAAACCGATTAACTGATTAACAGTTGAATAAACTGTCATTTATAAATATCATAATAAAATTTCATCTAATAAATCATACTTAACTTCAAAATTAAAAATAAGAACAAATGAAATAAGATTATTAACTTACCTGCACATGTTCCATCACATAAAATTCTGTTCCAATGACAGAAGGATCATTGCAGTACAGTAAAACCTTGGGAACAGGGAAGCCAACGGAAAACAAGGCTTTCTGGACTTTATATTCTCTATCAATCTAAATACCATGATAGATTATTAAAAATTAGAAACATAGAAATTTAATAACTACTTGTAAGATAACCTTAAGGAAAGAAATCAATTATAAAACAGTGTCAACAAATAATACAGAGGATAATAGTAATAATTTACTTAACAGTAGTCTTAATATAATCATTATAATTATAAACTAAATCAGCTCTAAAAAATTATAACTTAATTAGGATAAAAGGATGGGCACAGGGTCTAATCCTGGATCTGTTATTGTGAAGGCAATAGTTTTTCACAGGTTATATCATAAAATATTCCTTTGTTCTCAGCAGTTCCCTGCTCACTGGCTTTCTCATTCTTTCATATCTCCCAAGGGAGCTTAGGTGAATGTCCCTTCTAGTGTGCAACCATAGTCTTCTAGTGTGAAGGGACCAAGAAAGTTACAATCTGCAGTTTTTCATTACCCAGCTCACAGTGGTCTTTACCCAGTAAGCTAAGCCTGGGAAGCACCTATTAAACAAGATCATATTAACATCCTAAATATGCATAGTGTTTTCACTCTTCTCCAGTATTGTGATTTATGTCCTGGCTTATTTTCTAAATATCCATAGACAATATGTATTTATGCAAAAAGGAAAACTTAGTTGTTTTTAAAAAAATTGATTGAACATAATATTTGTACATATTTCTGAGATATAATGTGATGACTCGATTCACATATACATTGAAATGATCAACTCAGGGTAATTAGAAAAACTTAGTTTTTAACAAAAATCTTTTATAATTCTCACTGCTAAGTCTAATATTTAGAGAATACATTAAAATTCTATTCAACTCTTATTTTTTGTTTTTACTTGTTGATGGACCTTTATTTAACTTATTTATTTATATGTGGTTCTAAGAATCAAACCCGCATGCTAGGTGCACTCTAATACTGAGCCACAACCCCAGCCCTCAAGTCTTTTTATCACCAAAAGATTAAAGCCTTGTAGCAAGTATACTAAAATAATTCAGCAAATAGATAGTGTTATTAGATATAATATTTAAGTATATAACAAAAACAAAACATCTAAAAAATGAGCAATACTGAAAATATTCATGGGCTCATTATATTTCTTGCCAAGTATACAGGGAGGAACCAAATTCCACAAGATGATTGTTTATCAAGATGAATGGCCTGAGATAGTCTTATATTTCAATCCCAAATTCTTTTCTAAAACAAAAGGGATAAAATTCAAGTATAATTTAATTAGAAATAAATTCATTTTTCTATTACTTATTACCCAGAAGATAACTTTTAAAAAGCAATTTAGATTATTTTTGTGTATAAAAGGCATTTACTTGTCACCAAAAAATATACCATTACATTTATGTGCCATACCTTATGTGCTTTAGGAAGAAGTGAACCTGGTGGCTTTTTCCTGAGTACATATGCTTTAAAGCCCTTCTTGAGATGAAAGGTTGGATTGGACTGCCCTGATCTAGATAAAAGCAAAGAAAAGGTGAGTTACAGGATATGTTTTCCTTCTTCAAATCCTGCGGAAATGTCAGAAGAGACAGGAAATGAAAAGGAATCCACCTGAATGTTGGAAAGGCAACAGTAGTGCTATCAGCATTTCACAGTATGTAATATACTAGTAGCTGAGAATCTATGACCCACACTAGTAGAAGAGTGGACCTCACCACCTGACTATAAATCATGTTCTGTCAGAAGTAACCCACGGCAATGTATAGATCTAAGTAAATAAAGGCTGGGAGAAGAAATTTCAGGTAATCAGTCAGAAAAGCACTAAAGGATGCTGGAACAGCTGGGTTAGTACCCTTTATTTGCCCTTGGAGAGAGAACCCCATATGTCACTAAGGCTAGCAATTAAATTCAGCTCTCTACAAAAGGAGAGATAAATGAGATCCCAGAGTGAGCAGCATCTGGGCCAGGAAAGTACAAAAGTGCCACTGGTAACTAATGGACACCAGTGCACTGGCTTTCCTCTCCAGGTGTACAATAATTCTCACATTTACTAAGGATATACACTCCAATTAACAAAACTATCCAATCTACACCTTCATTTATAACATGAGCAGTTAAGCATCACCTAACTTTTGAAGAATTTAATAGTATAAAAGAGAGACCCTGAACCAAATAAGCAAAGGAATAAATCCCAGAGGCATTAGGTAATATGAGAAATGAGGAAAAAAAATCTAAAATTTCTCCCTAGGACTCCACCCTCAATCAGGAAAGAACAATAGTGAGCCCAGACTGAATGCAGCAGCAGCTCCATCTCCTATAAGCCAGAAACATTGTTCCCAGACTCGTATTAAAGAGCAATGATCTTGGCACCATCTAATTCTATGATTATACTAGTGGCTGCTAATAGATGGGGGAGGAGGGAATTAGGCATGAGGTTTCTTTCTGAGGTGACACAAAAATGTTCTAGATTAGTTAATGGTGATTGTGAATATACTGAATCATATACTTCAAAATTGTTAAAACTGTGAACTTTATATTATATGAATTTTATCCCCAAAACATCAATTAAAAAACTGAAAACTTTTCTTCTGAGGAAATACTTACTGTGGTTCTAACAAAGGCAAAAAAAAAAAAAAATGCAGAAGCTCACCTGCACTGGAGGATTATCACTGACACTGTCAAGATAGCATGGGCTAAGTTTAACCACTGCAACCATCAGGCCTTCAGAGAATCTGGATCAGAGGTAGCCTCAATGTAAGAATGATCATCACTGAGCCAATGTTTAAGATTTGGATAAGATATCCATGCTAAAAGAAACATGTTGATCTACAACCTATAAGCACTTTTGGCTTGTCCAATTTCTATTAACAAAAATGCAATCATTACATTTAGATGTGTAGCTAGAGACCTCACTGGGTTGGAGAAGATTTTGACTAGATATCAAACTAGATTCAAAAGCTCAGAAATTACTGTAGGACTTCTTCAATAGAAGAGCTGGAAAAAGGAAAGAACCAACCCTATAAGTGTTAGTTATGTTTGCAGCTACCTAGGTGGCCATCTTGTCCCATTAAATCTTATCCCTTGTCCAGAAATAAATTTGAAAATATTCAGGATTTGCAGTTTCTCTGTGTTACTCCTTATCCATTGGCATGGAAACCACTGTTGAGCCATGATATTCTGACCAAGTACAATACGGCTGTTCACACCAAGCAGCCTCAGACCTTCACCATCTACTCTCCACAATCAATTGGTTTGTTCAGTTTTATGTGATTGAGCAATGATAAAGAATAAGAACCAACTTTGCAAACTTGAACTCTTAGGCTTCCTCCTGTATCCTCTGGATTTCCATGGATTCCAGTAACTTGATACAGTTTCCAACAGCATCTGAGACATGTTTGCTGAAGATAAAAGATCAGGAAACATGAAGATAAAAAGACCACTGACATGGTGTTTGAGAATGGACAACATTAAGTATATATGGTCATTAAGACTTAAAAGTAAAAAATGTGAATATGAGAAACAAAGAGTCAAAATATTCACCAAGAAGTTGCTCAGATCTTAGATATTTAATAGGCCCCAGTGGAAGATGAATTCAAACAGAAGATTCTTGACAAGTGCAATGGAATTATCAAATGGCTGGACAAGAATCAGATTACTGAGTAGAAAGAATTTAACATCAGCAGAAAGATCTGGAGAAGGTCCCAAACCCCACCATGTCTCAGTGACCAGAGAGCAGGCACCATGCTAGGTGCTCTACGAGCAATTTCCCTGGGAGTAGTTGCTTATTCTTCCAGAGGTGCTTCTTTTGGAACCATGATTGCAGATACAAATTAAGCCAACCAAATCACAACGAAGTTTGAACACAGTCTTGACATTTAAAGAACACTGATTTGTAAATAGTTACTTTGATGGCATTTAAAAATCATATTTAAGGTACTATGTAACATTTCCTTAGACATTTTGAATAAATATACACCATGAAAAAATTACAGTTGCATTTTATCCTTGTGGTAAATAAAAGGAAAGTGCAATTCATGTTGGATAACAAAATATTTTTAAATTGGCATCATAAAAACAAAAAAGTAAACCCAGAGCACTTAGCTTTAGACTGCTACTCCCAAGCTCCAACAACCTACGGAGATAGTCACGGAGCACTATGAAAAACAGGACCCCTTAGGATTAAGAGATAAACACCTGTTGGGGGAAATAAGAGCCAAGCTAGCTCTCTGTCTTATGGGGTTAACAGTCATACCAGAAAATTAGGAATTTAAAAGTGCATCCATCTTCAAGGCTATGGGAGTGAGATAACACACCAGGAGATGGGAAGCTGAGGAGTTAGCTCAGCCTTCTGAGATTATGTGGTCAGCAGAAATGTCAAGAAACTGGAGCCAAAGCAAAATCACTGGAAACAGTTCACTGAAACAGTACAATAGTTGGCTTCATTCTGAAAATGCTGTCAGACTTTCCCAGATGATAAGGGGCAAACCAGGGTAAAGGACAAATGCATGCACATGTGGATATCAGTCACTAAAGTAACCCACAGGAAACCTTCAACTCATTAGCATAGTAAAACAGAACCCCCAGGTGGAGACCTAAGGAGACATGATGTATGAAGAGGAGTACGGGTGCAACTAAAATCCCAACACTACATGTGACGACGTCAAGAGATCAGGTTCCTTCCTACTATGTAGATGCCATAAATGCTTACATATTCCTTTGTCCTTTGTTTGAGCCAGCTTGACACTGTTGGTCAGTGCTGTCTCCCTTCTGTCTTGAGCAGAAGCCCGTAATAAAATCTTGCCTGTGCTTAAATTCTTCTGGGTCCAGTTTTCATTTCAACCAGTTCTGGACACAAGAACCTGAGTGTAGTAATACTACCCTATCTCATTTCTTAACATAGTGCCATGGCATTGAGACCACCATGGTGGTCTTCCTCCCTGTTTTTATTCTGCAGACTTCCCAAGGGGCAGATTTTTTTTTCCAATCAGTCATCCCCTGGGTCTGGAGATGTAGTCTGCATCCTTCTTCATTATCATTCCAGACTCTTTGCTCTCTCCAGTTTCATGTCATGAGATTCCGCTCCCACATTGGGCACTAGGACTCTGAAAAGGGGCGGGTCTCCCTACTTCACCCCTTCTCAGCAGGAAGCAGCCAGACTTGGTATTGACACCTCAATTCATTATCCTCTTTCAGAGTCTGGAATGAAGGATATGGAAAACAACAACCCCCAAGGAGAAAGGAGGACAATGGGCTCTGGACTCTGGACTTTCATCCTTTCCCAGCAACAAATGGGCTTTGAACTTTTGCAATTGTTTTCCTGATTTAGGCTTTTAACTTGCACAACTGTTCCCTCTGACTGCCCAAATGATGCACTCTGCAAATGATTCAAACCTCACTTGGTTCCGCCGGGAGTGATATCTCAATAAAGCCTGTTCAGCGGCCCTTTTAAATCTGCCAACTTTGGTTGCTGCCTGCCCAGCCTGATCTGACAGTAAGCATTTCTCTCATCTATTTTTCTACTCACTTTGGCTTGTACCTCAATCCATTGATCCTACTTCTTTTCACTCACTTCCCCCCACCACATCCTTCCTTAACTAGCCTACATTTAATGGTAAATCACATAACCATTACCTTGATGCACCTTCAATACACTTGCCCTTTTCTTACTTCATGGTATTTGCTTGTAAAAATCCCCATCCTAATTAAATCCAATTATCTGCTTATACTTATAGAATTGAAAGTAGCTAGAGAAAGAAACATATGGTCATAATTATTGATTTAGGCTAAGCTTGTGAGAAGCAGACCCTGAGTAAAAACATGTGTGGCCAAATGACTTAAGGAAGGGCTTGATAAACTAATAAAGAATTGGGAGAAACTGGTCAGGGAAGGGAAGAAAGACAAGCCAGGGTATGCTCTAAGACAAAGTTCCTAAGAGGGTAGCTTCAGCCTTAACTCCTGGGAGTGTAGGCAGGTATTGGGGCAAGAGGAGAACTCTGCAGTGTCTAATACCCTGAGAGCTGTCTTACCTTTGAAGCAAAGATGATGGAGATTTCAGACTCCTGAATCACTTGTGGTTAAGGGCCATCTTAGGCATTATAACATTCAGGACAAAGGAGGCTCAGATAGCAGAAGGACAGTTCTCCAAAAAAAGAGCCACAGCTGCTAGCTATTAAAAACCCAACAAAGCTGGTGTATACAGAAACAATAATAAAAAGAGTACCTGGGCAAAACAATAATGTCTACCAAAATAACTACTTGTCCTTCAAATTCATCACCATGAACCTCAAGGTTACCCTAATTGGCAATCATTTTTTATTAGCTCATTTATTCTCCTATGCTCTTGAATTTCATAATTTCCTCTTCCTCAAACCTCTAGCCCCTTCTCCTCCATATTCACTCTCAGCTAATTACCTAGGTGCCTAATTCAGTGAGAAACAACAATTGGATCAGAATTTCCACAAATTTACCCTACTATACCTACTGCATACAATTATCCACACTCATATTATTGTC